AGAAGAAGCCAACACTGCTAATCTAGCATAACCTAAGGATGATTCTTGCCATCAAACATCCTCTTTTCATTGTTTCTGCTATGGGCGGGCAGTCTTACTGTCTGTGACGGCTGCCCTGCTGCTGATAGGATGGACAACTCTGTAATGGGAGGTGGCTCCAGCCTCACCTGAAATTGAGCAGGCCCCAGGTGGGGCCAAAGTGGGACTGGAAGACAGCTCCAGGAGGCATGCGGTGTCTTTGGCACAGTGGGAAGAAAGAAATGAAAATGGAAAAGTCCATTGGTCACTGGCAGCTGCTCTGGCCACCTATATCATTCCTGAGTTTGAATAAAGAACCGGATCTGGTGAGAGTCTGATCCAGCCACCAAACACACTGTCAGCCTCTGTAGGCCACATACATCAAGAAATAATACCTATCCTTTAAGGACTACTTGAATGAATGATGCAAACCTTATTTTGATTCCTTTTATCTTCGACATTTAGTTACTCCACCACAGACAGCAGAGTAGAGAAAACTGTAAATTGCAAGTGACCTGAATTATTCATTCCTTTAATTATGAACCAGTTCCAAAGATGTCAGAGCCTTAGAAATAGAGTGTGACATAAAAAAGTAAAATAAAAGATAATATGGGGAGGAGAAGGTGTAAAACACAGAGCTCAGAAGAAACATTAACAAACCAGCCCAACATGGTTTTCAATTTTAATTCCTCTTTAGCCAAATCTGTTCTTAAAACTAACTAATCAGATTTATCATTTTGAATTTTCATGCAAAATTATGCTCAAATTCTATTTATTCTTGCCCTACATTAGTGCAGCAGCAGAAGAAACATTCTCCACTGTGGTCATCTCATTGTATGACATTGAAAAAAACCCTCAAAACAGGTATTTGAAGCTATATCAAAGCACACAGACACAGCTGTCCTGTGATATCTGTCCATCTCGTCAAGTATCTAAAGCAACGGCAATGCTGGACACTTGGGAGAAAGCTGCAAGAAATCTTGGAGAAAGCTGTTACAGAATTTACCACTGGGTAAATTTCTTCCTGACCCCCATTAACTAGAAGTTGACTCTCATTTTGAAGCCAGTTGATCTCCATCTGTTCTGAGATGCCTGTGTATTTTTAATTCTTACTGTAACAACCGTGGTCTTATCATAAGCCACATAAATGTCTCCTTTTGTATCCTGCCAGTTCTTAACCTCAGTGACACTGTGAGAGTGAGCACCATATTCAGACTGAAAAATACGTGAATCTGCTTCATGTGATCAGCTTGAAGATGGCTGCTTTCAATTTCACTACTGTCTGCTTCTCCCGTCATTGAAGGGGAGGCAAAAAGAAGTACTCAGACTCCTGTGCATCATAATTTATACTTTCTGCCTCCACTATTTCAACAGGTTTGGTAAAGCTAGTACCTCAACAGCAGATACATAATCAAGACTCTCACTCAGAAATTAACTCTATTTGCTGTATGCTGCTTCCTTTCCTCCTGAAATTTCAGCCAGAGTAGAGACTGTGGGCCATAACCGAGGTCCCCTGGAGACTGCTGATCAGAAAGAGCAGTAAAGCATTGATAGATGTAGCATGCAAAGGTTTTAGCTTATGCTTACATGACCTTCTCATAAACACCATTAAGTTGTTCTGGACAGGTGCCACATTTTCAGTATGCACAGGAAAATTTCCTGCAAGCAAGAGAACCATTACAAGTTCTTCCTGATAGAGTTGAACAATATTTCATTGGGGAGAAAATGGTCAGAAAAGTAAGGTGCTGTTTTTCAATTCAAACACTGTGATGCCACAAAAGATCAGGAAAGGCAGAAAAATAAGATAGAGTAAGTATGAAAGAGGACACTTTTT